TATATACGTATAAAATGTTTGAAAACAACCGTGTCTTATAATAAAACTACATTGTGAAAACCAGATTCAGTAAAGACTAAAAAGTCGTCAAGCTTCCTCAGCCCATGTCTTCCTCCCATCCTGGGCTTAGACAGATCACCTTTCTTATTGTTTTAAAGAACCAGACCAAATAGAACTGACTTTTTTAATTCATCCTGTAACCTCATTTTGCATCTTATTTCCGTGGGGGAGACAGTGGTAATTAAATGTTTTGATAGGTAGAAGAAAACTCTTAGGCTTCTCTGGGTTTACCAGAGGCATTCGTAATGTTACAAAGAGGCAAAAGTATTTACCACACACAAATGAGCAGAAAATATAATATCACGAAGTACAGTGATTGAAAACAGACTTTCTGTGAAAAATTCAGCTTTGCTGTATCTAGCTTTTTTGGATATACAGGAATTCCTGCCATTTGACACTTTGTCTGGTTGTAAATATTCTTGTGCCAGCTCTATGTTCTCTCCCATAGAAGTCATTACTCTGACCCTTGGATTAAGTAACTCTAAGCAGTGCTTCTTCTGGGTATTTTATTACTGAGGCAGTAGGCTGTATATGGGGGTGAGGTGGGGAGAATGGGATGGAAATTGTCATCCATTTGGAATAGGTACATAGAGTCTCATGACACTACCCTAGCCCGTTTAACCTAACAGAAGTACACTTGGGTCATTTTCTCAAATTTGACTTATCAAAAGAATTACTTGGAACCCTTATTAAAAATCAGGATTTTTGAGTGTCACCCCGGACCCATCCCCAGGGGAGAGGTATGGGAATCTGTATTCTTAACCTATCAACATCATGTCTCTTTCCATTGGAGAAGGGTTTTGAATGTAGATCCCATTTAGTTCCCGGGATTTTCACTAGCTCAGGGAAAAGAGTTTAGGTTAAGGATGGGAAGGAAAGAACTAAAGAAAATGATGTTGAAAAGCAGGGCTCAGTGACCTTAATGCAGACTTCAGTGCTTACCTGGACCTTCTCAGAAGGAGGATTGGAGCCAAAATGGAAAGGACCTTGGATGCCTGGATAAGGGCTTTGGATTTCATTCTGTAGTACCGGTGATCTACAAATTGGAAGGGATGGTACGAAGCATTGGGATTTGAGAAGAAGCCTCTTATCTATGTATTTTATCAAAAGAAGAATGAAGTTGAGTTTTGTTAATACTTATATACGGTAAGTCAGATGGTCAAGAGTCAAAAATATGCATGGTTTTCAGAGGGAAGAGTGACATTTCCATGAAAAGTGTCACCTACCCATGTGTGCAGATAACTGTTTATAGATCTTTTCTGATTTAAACTGACCTACTCCTAACAGAATAGACAGGTGCCTTAAAAACGATTGAAAGCAGTAATGTAAGTGCAAAGGAACAACTCTGGACATTCCATTTTCCAGTTACTAATAGATGTTAGAGACTTCGACTTGCTTACTTTGGACGTGTCATCAGGGAAGACCAGTCAGTAGAAAAGGATTTGATGTTTGGTAAAGTAGAGGGCCAATGACAATGCAGGAAACCCTCAGTGAGATGGATTGACACAGTAGCCCCAGCAGTGGACTCAGACATGTCTTCTGTAAAGATACAGCCTCAGAAAGCCTATGGGGTAGTTCTGCTCTGTTCTGTAGGGTCGCCACGCGTTCAAATCGACGGCAGTGTGTATACAGAAGGTCGCTGTGAGTTGGAGCCGACTCGATGAGGAATAACAACTCAACAAGAAAATGGTCAAACTGACGTTTACTCCTAGTATAAGCTGTCTTTTGCTCCTGTGACAAAACAGAAACAGTGATACCGATCTGACAAGAAACTGCCGCATCAAAAAAATTAAGACTTATTAAAAGGGTGATTTTAAATAACAATTTGTATCCACTGTCGTGTGTGGTATACCATGCCCTAAATGTATATTGGGTCTTGGGATGCCAGTTTATAATAGTATGGAACCATTACAGTTCAAACATTTAAAAATGCTGCTTATATTAATCTTTTTGATTGATATTTTAGTGTATAGTATTACTGTAAAACACAAACCCCACTGCCGTCAAGTTGATTCCAACTCATAGCCACCCTATAAGACAGAGAAGAACTGCCCTACAGGGTTTCCAAGGCTGTAGTCTTACGGAAGCAGACTGCCACATCTTTCTTCCACCGAGTGGCTAGTGGGTTCAAACCACAGACCTTTCGGTTGGCAGCTGAGCGCTTTAACCACTGTGCAACCAGGCTTCATGGTATTGCTGCGCTAGTATTCCTGGTATATAAGTAAATTGAGATGTACAGTCAAGAAGTTAAATTCTGCTCTGTATATTCTCAACAACAAAAAGTAAGTTATATATGTTTTTTTAAAGTTCTGTAGAGACCACTGTTCGTGAAGCTGTTTTGAGGGGGGCTCTAAGAAAATGACTTGGGGATTTAGGGGAGTACAGGGAGCTGGAGTGGGTGCTCTGGGGCTTTAATCAGAGTAGCCCTGTTTTTATCTTTTTTATACATGGAGGCTTCTAAAATTTTGTCTGTAGAAAAGGTTTTACTGATTTTAATAAAAAGGTTTGAGAACCTGTTTTGTAGATGTGGGGAACCACTGAATGTTTTAAAGCAAAGAAGTGACCTGATAAAATTTTGGAATGATAACTCTGGTGGTATATTTCCCTTCCAAGAAGTGTAGTCAGCCAGAAGGTAGAACACATTTCCAGCTGTTCTTACCTGATTACCCAGCAAATGGGAAGTTTTAATCTGAGGCCTGGAGTAATTCAAGGGTATTTTTCATTTATTGGTTAGAACTAAAGTGTGCTAAAATGTTTTTAATTTTGAAGACTTTGCTTACTAATCTGGGGCTCACTTTTACAATTCTTAAAATCAGGTCATAATATTTATAAGTATTAGATGAACAGCTGTTAAATGTAAGATGTTTTATAGATAAAATTCTTTTTGTAATTAGGATATAAACTCAAAGTTCATGTGCATTTTTTGAAAGAGTCTTACCATATTAAACTTTAGTTATTATGTATCCTGAATAAAAGGTTGTCCATTCCATTAGAGTGTTTTATAGTGGTTTTAGTGCATAAACATTTGTGTATGTGTGCATTTTAATGTAAGTTCAGAGCTTAATTTTTAATACAAGGGTTGACACCCTTTTTTTAAAAGTGTAGCTAACCCTTTGGTAGGGGTATCGTTGAGGACATCACAGGGGAGAAGTTACCTGAACCTTGTGCTCTTTACTTTTTCTACAACCTGAGCTACTGAACAGGGTGCTGCTGGCAGTCCTTGCAGATCGGACGAATAGCTTCCTTTCACCATTGTTTTGCATTCCTTAGAATTCTGAAGGCTCTTCAGATCTTTCAAAAAAGGGGAGGGGGTGAAATAGAAGGGGTTAAACCTTATGCTATTTTCAGCTAGTAGCTTACTTAGAAGCAGTTGACAGCCAACTAAAAGGGAAGGATGAACATGTAGGTGGCTAGTGAATGGAACAGCTGACCTTCTGGAAACAACAGGAAGTAGAGGGTTGAAATGTCTACTTTACGGTTTTGGCCAGGAATGGCTAGCTTTTCCGTTTAACATCTTGATAACCTAACCAGAGGCTGCTAATTTTTGTCTTAATTTTTTTTTGGTTTTAGAAGATTGCTCAGTGTCACTTTTAGTACCAAAGCTAAATATTGCCAATATATATGACAGTTCCAAAGGGTAACAAAATATAGTTTTACAATTGATTGTGAATATTAATTAGAGGACATTTGTCATTGCTTTGCTGTTTCCTGTCCTCTTGATATTTATTTATACTTTATAGTTATTTCTTTTCTCTGTGATGATATGGAAATGTTTATTTTGAAACAGGACACATTAATTGTGTGGTCAGAAGCTGAAAACTATGATCTGGCTCTAAGTTTTCAGGAGAAAGCTGGCTGTGATGAGATTTGGGAAAAAATCTGTCAGGTAAGGTTCTTTTAATAATATGTAACCTGTGTTTATATGCATTGAATTACTTCAAAGATGTATAAGTATGAGAACATGGAGAAATAATGTTTTAATATGAGAATTTGGTTTCTTACCCTAGAAATTTATTTTGTATTTTTTAGCAAATTCTTTTACTTAAAAAAGAAAAACAAAATTCGTTTTAATTTTTTTTTACCACTTCAGATTTTGACAGCACATATGTGTAATTAATACCCCGTAAAGTGGCACGGTCTTTAAACAAACCAGAAGGTTAAATATTTCTGGTCTGAGGCCTCTAGCGGGGCAGTGACGGTTCAGTGGTAGAATTCTTGCCTTCCGTGCGGGAGAACCAGGTTTGGATCCTGGCCAGCGCACCTCCTGTGCAGCCACCACCCGTCTGTCGGTGAGGCCTGTGCGTTGCTGTGACGCTGAACAGGTTTCAGTGGAGCTTCCAGACTAAGATGGACTAGGAAGAAAGGCCTGGTGGTCTGCTTCCAAAGATCAGTCAGTGAAACCCCTGTGGAGTACAACGATCTGACCTGCAACCAGTTATGGGGATGACACAGGACTGAGCAGCATCTCACTCTGGGGTCGCCGTAAGTCAGGGACTGACTTGACAGCAGCTAACAACAACAGGGCTTTTAGGTTTTTTTTTTTTAAATGTATGGTCATCTGTTTGCCTACTGTTTGTGAATACTGTGTGTCAGACACTAATGAGCAAAAGTACTCATGACGTCAGCTGTGGGAAGCTTCAACTATAGCAGGATATTGGATCTGTGGTAAATCTCAGGTTTTTTTTTTTTTTTTAATAAATTATTTTAGAGCACTCTTCGATTTACAGAACATTTGAGCAGGTAGTACAGAGAGTTCCCATATACCCTCTTCCTGCTCCCAGCCTCAGCACCCAGTTTCCCCTACTGTTAACATCTTACATTAGTATGATACAGCTGTCATAATTAATCAACTAACATTTACTAGCTGTTAGTATTATTGACATTTTTAAGTAAAGTCATGCTGTCTTAGTTATGTAGTGCTGCTATAACAGAAATACCACAAATGAGTGGCTTTAACAAACAGCACTTTATCTTCTCATAGTTGAGAAGGCTAGAAGTCTGAATTCAGGGTGCCGGCTCTAGGGGAAGGCTTTCTCTATCGGCTCTGGAGGAAGGTCCTTGTCTCTTCTGAGCTTCTACTCCTGGACAGTCTTCACGTGGCTTGGTACCTCTCTTCCCCTATCTCTGCTTTACTGGCTTGTTTAATCTCTTTTATATCTCACAAAAGAAGATTGACTCAAGATACACCTTATACTAATCCTGCCTCATTCACATAACAAAGGCAGCTCATTCCCAAATGGGATTATAACCACAAGCATAGAGATTAGGATTGACAGCACATACTTTGGGAGGACACAATTCAGTCCGTAACACGGGCTTTACTCAGATTTCCTCCGCTTTTCCTTAATGCCCTTTTTCTGACTTAGAACGCCACGTTACGGTTGATAATCGTATCTCCTTAGGCTCCTTTTGGCTGTGACAGTTGGTAACTGAGATTTTAAATTAATCAAGACAGTCATTGTAACTACTGTTTTCTCTAAACAGGAGATCGGTGACTGCCTAGTGCAGCACTCTTTTGTAATAGTCTTGTTTGGGCTACTGTCATTTTCACTTAAATATCTGCATACATCAGATTTTCCCTCTAGTGAGTCTTATCACTGAAGATTCTTGAGATAGTTTTATGGATCTGACCACAGTCATTTTATTTCCCCGTGAACCTCCCAGTACCAGTGCCACACAGTGTAATAAGTGGCTCAAGAAGTATTGTATGAACCTTCCCTTCTCTTGTAAGACTTACATGGCACGTAGGTGCTGGATCAGTAAACTTCTTAACTGGTAGTATTGGGATTTTTTTCCCATAATATGTTTTTAAAAGCTTAATATTTTAAGTTATTCATTATTTTGATAGTCTTTTTTTTCCTAACATATATTAGTATGTATTATGTATTGTTGGAGTGTTATTAATTTACGTTATTAAATAAAATAAAAGAATTCCACTTGATGCACAGTTGAAAATACCAACTAGTAAATATGCTTTTGCCTTACTTCATGCAATACATAGAGTAAAATCAAAATTGTTTTGTTAATTGTTTTGCCTTTGTTTTTTGGCCTGTTTTCAAATATATGTATGGTGATAGTAAGAAGGTCCTAATTTTTACCCTTTTCTTCCCATGTGCTCCCCAAGGTTTGATATTAAATTTTATGTGCAAAGTTTTATGTAAACTGAGATTTAAGACTTAAAAATGATCCCTCGTAGACTTACACGTGTAATATACGCTCAGCAAGTATTTGCTGTTCAGGTCTTGATTCAGTAAACTTAGATCCAGGGATTCAAACCGGTTCAGAATGGTTCCATCATGGCTGGTGGAAACACAGGCAGCATATGCATTGCATAGCAACCAAACCTCTTGCACATCAGCTTTTGACACAAGTAGTGTAGGAAACAGGCAGCGGTGCCCCGCTCAAAGGGGTCAGCCAGCTGCGCCACTTTGAGTGTGTATCAGCCGCCGTCTTTGAGCGGGGCACTGCTGCCTGTTTCCTACTGGGTTGAAAAGCCAATGTGCAGGAGATTTGGTTGCTCTGCAGTGCGTACACTGCCCATGTTTCTGTGAGCCATGGCTGAACCGGTTCGAACCAGTTCAAAGCCCTGCTTAGATGATGCATTCATTCATGAAATGGAAGAAAACTGGTCTTTGGAAATAATAAAAGCATATCAAAGAATGTAGTACTTTTAAAATTGCCTATTTATAAAAAAGGTAACATTATAGTAATATTTATAGTGCTGTTCGTAATATGAATAACAGTATACAAAGTATTCAGTATACAAACAGTGCTAGTAGGCTAACATTTTTTATTATAAATTCCTGAAAAGTTACATTATATTTTGTATTCTATCCTCTGTCCCTAATACCAGCATGGTAACTGGCGCATATTATGCATGGACTCATATTGATATGTACTCCAAGTTTAAAAAGACGAAATAAAGCAAAAGATATTTTAGAAGTAGGGTGTTGATTTATGTATCTGCTAGAACATAAATTTACATGATAATATTTTTCAGTGATCAGCATATTAGATTATCTCTTGATCACATCTTAGCACCTACTGTTTAATACCTGTTTTGGGGTAGACATATATCCTTGAAAACTTCATACATTTGTCCTAGAAATTTTTGTTGAAATGTATTTCTTGCTGTTTTCACTCATGCAATTTGGGAGATCTCCAAGACCGCTCTCAATTCACTAGGACTCCCAGAACTCACCAGAGATGTTATACTCATGGTTACTGTTCCAACAGTGAAATGATACAGATTAAAATGAGCAGTGGGAAGAGGTGCATAGGACAGGGTTCAGGAGAGCTCCAGATACCAGCTTCCAGTTGTCCTGTCCCAGTGGAGTTGTGTGGACAGGTTTACATCTCCCAGTAACAGTGTGTGGCAACATGCATGGAATTTTGCCAACTAGGGAAGCTCACCTAAGCCTTGGTGTCCAGGGTTTTTATTGGGGTTTGGTCACGTAAGCATGAATGACAACATTTGTGACTGACCGTGGTCCCCAGCCCCCTCTAGAGGTCAAGCTGTTACCATATGGACCAAGGGCCCCAGCATAAACCGCTTTGTTAGCATACACTAACTTGTATAGTCCAAAGTCCCCAAACAAACAAACACACTATTATTAGGCAGGGCTTAGAGGTTACCTATCAGGAGCTGGGGAATGGCCAAACCTTTCTTTGGGCAAGTTAGTCGTTTATTACACAACTCAGTACTATACTTTTAAGGTCTGTGCATGTCACTAAATATACATTTAGTTTATTGCTCCTAACTACTATTTGGTATTTCACAGAGCCATAGATTACATTTTACTTTTTAATTCTGGGAGGTCATTGACCTTTGAAAGAAGCAGTTCAATTTCAATAAAAGCCATATTACTAAGTTATTTCTTTACCCCTTGTTATAGATTGAAGTGTGTCCCCCAAAAATATGTGTTGTAATTCTTAACCTCTGTGCCTGCAGTTATAATCCCTTTTGGGAATTGGTTGTCTTTGTTATGTTAATGAGGCAGGATTGATGCAGGATATATCTTAAGTCAGTCCCTCTTGAGATATAAAAGAGATTAAACAAGCAAGCTAAGCAGCACAGATGGGGAAAGAGAGATGCCACGCCACATGAAGATTGTCCAGGAGCAGAAGCTCAGAAGAGACAAAGACATTCCTCCAGAGCCGACAGAGAAAGCCTTCCCCTAGAGCTGTGACCCTGAATTCAGACTTCCAGCCCCCTAAACTGTGAGAAAATAAATTTGTTTGTTAAAGCCATCAACTTGTGGTATTTCTGTTATAGCAGCACTAGAAGACTAAGAATTTGTTACCTAGAAGTGAGGGTGCTGCTCTAACAAATACCTCCATGTGGAAGTGGTTTTGGAATGGAGTAACAAGTAGACGCTGGAAGGATTTTAAGGTACCTAATAGTAAAAGCCTAGATTGCCTTGAAGAAATTGTTGGTAGAATGAAGGACATCAAAGGCAACTCTGGTGAGGGCTCAAAAGGAATTGAGGAGAGTTATAAAGAAAGTCTCTATCGTCTTAAAGAATACAAACGGCGCTAGCAACAATGTTGCTAGAAATGTGGATGTTAAATGTGCTTCTGGTGAGGCTATAAAAGAAAATGATGATCGTGTGATTGGAAAATGGAAGAAGAATGATGCTTTTTATGCAGTAGCAAAGAACTTGTCTGAATTATGTTCAAATGTTTGGTGGAATGTAGAACTTGTAAGTGATGAACTTGAGTATTTGGCTGAGGAGATTTCTCAGCAAGATCTTAAAGGAGCTGCTTACAGTAAAATGTGAGAAGAAAGAGAGAGTTAAAAATTAACTGTGCAAAATGAAAACAGAACTTAAAGATTTGGAAAATTCTTTTATACAAACTAAGGACACATGTCCTAGAACGTCCACC